ATTTTAGGGTGAAATTAAAAATTACGTAATTTCTGTTTCAATCCGATCCATGTACACTCCTACTCGTTTCTTTTTTAAAATGTTTTCTTCACAAAAATAATTTTTAAAATTTTTTAAAAATTATCTATTAAATTTAAGCGATCTTTCTACTTGAATTGAATTGTTGGATAAAATAAAATTACAAGTGGTTTTTTCTTTCCAATTTTCACATTAAAATAAAATTAGACCGCTATAACAAGACAAAAGACAAAAGGAAAGATGGTAGTGTGCAAATAGAAGATGTAACATGTAAGTAAAGACGTGGGGATGACATCAGTGAAGCGTGAGAGTTAAACTGACGTATGAGTAATTGAATAGAGAAAAAGAGGGAAATGGGGGAAGGTGGGCTGTCACATGGGAAGCACGGGGTTGTTAGTGGGAGTAATGGAATAATATTGTACGGATGGGGCCACTTTGCCACGTGACTCACCCGTGGATGACATGGCAACTCCACAGTCTTTTTGTGTTTTAAATAACAGTCTGTCCCGTGGGTCCCATCTCAAATCTGTGCCCTTGTCCACATTCTCTTTCTTCTTTCCCGTTTAATCTAAAGTTTTATTTTAATTTTTTCATCCACAAATTAAAATTTTATTTTATTATTAAATAGAATTCACGACAACTAAATCTAAGCTTTCCACGTATCAAAATTTTATCTTTTTTTACTCGTTCTGTCTTAAAATATAAATCATTTTAAGGTGATTATTTTATCATAAAATATAAGTCGATTTGAGTATTTTAAAGAGTAATAAATAATTTTTTTTGCAATGTAATTCTTATTTATATTAGATATAATAATTATATTTACAAATTTATTTTTAATTTTAAAATAAAGATAATTTAATCAAATTATCCTTGATTTTATTATGATTTAGGAAATCTAATTACTTCCTTAATCTTTATGTAAAAATTTTAAACCACTTATATTTTGGGACAGATAGAGTATTAATTAAAATATTTATCTCAAAACTATATATCAAAAAGATATATCTTCCCGTCCCCAATTGATACGTACACTTTCTTTTTTTTTTTTTTATTCCAAATTATAATCAACTTACCATCCTAAAGAGTTAATTAATATGTTAAATCTCAATTATACTCATATTTAATGTTATTTATAAAAAATAACTTTCTTATTTTTTATCAATTACTTTTTACTTTCCAATGTCATTATTTATTGATAATCCATTTCAAAATTGAAAATATGAGTATTACTAAGTTCAGTCATTTTTAATGTACAATAACTAATTTTAATACCACCTTCGTTCCATAATACTTTTCACATTTGAGAAAATAATTTATTCTAAAATACTCGTCATATTTATAAATTCAAAGAGTAATAAATTGTTTTTCCCATGTTTACTTTTTATACTAGCAGAATGTCTATACTATACACAGTAAATATTTTTATATATAATCTTAGAGATATTGTGATAATATTTTAAAATATATAATTTAAATATGAAATTTTTTTTAATTTAAATAATTTTTAATTTTATATTTATTAATTTTGTTTTATTTTATTAAATTTTGTTGAAAATTATTTAAAATTAAAGAACATCTATTTTCAAATTTCCAAAAATTAGGACTAATTATATAAAAATAAACATTAGACTAATTATATAAAAATTAATCTCTATGATAAAATTAAAAGAAAAGGAAATATATATTAAAAATATTAATTTTAATTTATTTTTAATTAATAAATTTTCTTACACGATATTAAAAATAATAAAACAAATAAAATAAAATGAATATTATAAATTCAATCATAGACATATATATAGCATTTTTAATGATAATTTCATATAAACCATTTTTTCTTATAATTTATTAAACTTTTTCTAATTTGAAAGAGTAATAGAAATTAGAAAAGAAAAAAAAAAATTTATCAATGTCTAAAAGAAATTGTATAAAAATTATTGAAATTACAAAAAAATAAAAAAATCTTACCATACCCCAAAGAGTGATCTTACCGAATCTCAAAGAGTTCTCTATTTATAGTATAGTAATAAGCAATTAATGGCAATTCAATATATTATCATTAAAACTAATAAAGACAATTATATATTGTAATTTTAAAACAAAAAAATATTGAAACATTTGGATATTTATCTTTAACAAAACTATTAATAAATATTTTCAACATTAACCTTCTCTATCATTTTTTTAAATATAAATAATAATTATAATTGATTATAATTACATTCAATATCAATTTATATGGAAGTGCATTATTTTTGGATTTGAAAATTAGTAAACATTTATTCTGACAGATTAAATGATTGAAAATTATTAATTGTGATTGATAATTGATCAAAACATGCTTTTTTTTTTTGAAGAAGTTCATGTGTACGGTCAAATTGTGATTCAAAATTGGCCGGCTAAACCCTAACATTGACTAAATTTTATAAGTTTTTTTCTGGAATTTGCATCTATACACATGCTGCACATGTGTTTCTGTCTATCTACATGGCTTTTCAAATTCAACTGCAAATTTTTGGAGAAGAAAAAGGAAATTATATATGTATATTAGTATGCAAAAATTAGGTAATTAAGGTTCCATCAAATCGAATTTCCACTAGTTGTGCACAAATTTTCCCTAGTAAATCAAACTTGTTTTTCTACAATGTATATAAAGAATTGATGATGTGATCAAAGAATCAGAAGTTAGACATTCTGTTGCCGTTGAATTAATATTTTTTAATCTTAGACTGTTATATTGGTAAAAATAACTGTATTTCTAGATAAATTTTACTTACAAAAAGAGAAGTTCTATGATTTGTACTACCGTTATGAAAACTCTACCTAAATACACACTAAACTTAGAGCATTCAGACACTTATGCAATCAAAATTTATATGCATTATATATATATATATATCAAATACAAAAGCATTTTCTTTCTCAAATGGTGGCTAACAAATGAATATCTTTATCTTCCTCTTTAAGTGGGGCTATTTTTGTTTTATTCATGGCAAGCAACCTAGTACTTCACCATATATAATATGCACTACATCTCACCTTTGCAGATCTTGGTTCTATTTTTATGTTTGTTTTCCTTGTATTTTTGTGGTTTTGTTTTTTCGGTCTGATTGTTTTTTTTTTTTTTTTTTTTTTGTTATTTTTTTTCTTCAAATAAATTTTTTTTTTTTTTTTTTCTTCAAATAAATATAAGATTTGATCTTCTTCATATTGCTCGAAAATGTCCATGTATGTTTCTCAAGCTTACAAGCCAATTTTTATTAGGAGTTTATTTACAAATAATTTATTTATATATGGTCTTTAAAGAAGCGGTATATATTATTCTCTCCGGATTATTTAAATTGATTTGAATTCGATTATGAAATGTTAATATTTTTATTTTTTTAAAAAAGTTTTCTCCGCTAAAACTTAGCAGTACTATTTGTAGTAATAATGTACACTTGATTTATTTTCTAAAATAAAGTAGAGTAGCTATGTTGCTTTATAATCAAATTTTAAATTGTCTTTCTCTTTCTCTTTCTCTCAAAATTTAAAATCTTTCTTTTTATGAGCTCTCATTAATAGTCACCATTTTTTCTTTTATTTTTTTATTTTTTTTTTCAAATAATCCTCAAACGAAAATAACATCATGCAAAACGCGAGTCATATATACAGTGTAGAGAGACGAAGGAATGTGAAGGAAATAGAAGCATATTTTGTTAGTGTGAGAGACTCTACTCACAGATAATTACTCACTATCATCCTATCCTTAAAAAAAAAAAAAAGTGTCATCTCCATAAATCAATGGCTGCAATTATTTAGGCAACTAAGATTTTATATATCTTGTCTTCTTGTCATGGACAAGTTGTCAATAGATTATTTTGATGATCCTTTCAATAAGTTGTCTTTTAAGGTTTAATTTTATATTATTTTATTTCGCCACAAAAGTTGTATTATGGACTGATTTTTTTTATTTTTTATTAAAAGTTATTAATCAGGCGTGATATTAGATTTTACATATTGAGGGCGTGCATTAAAAATAAAATTTTAAAGAATATGGCCCCAAACTTTCGACTAAATTTAGTATTTTTTTGGTAGTTTTTTTAAAAGTGTGTTTTTAATTAAATCTTAATGGATAAGGAAAAAAAAAAAAGTTATTATTTTTATCAAATTGACTGATCACATTGAATCTAATTATCAGTAATATTTCTATTTCTTCTCTCAATTTTGTAGATTTTTTTTTCATATGAATATATAGTGAGTAATCCAATTCAAAAATAAGGGAGGATTAATTAATTAATTAATAATCAAAAAAGAAAATACGATCGGTGGCGTGAAGCGTGCTGCTAAATGTTTGTCCCTTACAAAATCTCATCAAATTGTCTATAATACCCTCAACATGTTTAATTCAGCGAATTTTGCTCATGATCTATATAGAAGAAATTTTAAATATTTTAATTCGTTACAGTAAAAATAATATCAAAAGCAATTTAGGCCATAATAATATTATTATCTTTTCCTCAAAAAAAAAAAAAAAAAAAAAAAAAAAAAATAAAAAAAAAAAAAAAAAGCAATTTAGGCCAAATATACTTTTCCATAGAAGAAATTGGACATTTTTTTAAATCGATGGGCCCAAGTTGGCAAGTCATTGACTCATTAAAAGACAAACTGGCTGAAAGTTAATAGACTAAGAAAAAGCAGGAATTAATCTATCCAGGCGCCAATAGGCACATTTGTATAGGGCTTAGTCCGGTTAAAAAAAAAAAAAAAAAAAAAAAAAAAAAGCAATTTAGGCCAAATATACTTTCCAATAAGAGAAATTGAATTTTTTAATCGATGGGCCCAGTTGGCAAAGTCATTAGACTCATTACAGACCAAATGGCTGAAAGTTAATAGACTAAGAAAAAGCAGGAATTAATCTATCCAGGCCCAATAGGCCACATTTGTTATAGGGCTTGGTCCAGGTTTTTGTCTTCTTTTATTTTTTTTATTCCTCCTGAATTTTGTTGATGCAGAAAAAACAAAGGTTCTCTCTTTCGCTTTTTTATTTGTTGATTTCCATTGATTTCATCTGGGTCTCTCTTATTTTTTGCAGCTATTATAAATTTCTGATTCTGTTTATGGTCGGTGGAAAAGAGGAACCATTAATTGATTGTTGAGGGGCTAAATCAGGTCAGTATCTTCTTGAAAATTTGTAAAATTTTTTTGTAGAATTCAACTCCATAATACATCTTGGCTTCTGGGAATGTTTGGCTTTCTAGATATGGTCCCAATTTGGGTGTTGATTATTATTTCATGTCCTTCTTCAGAATATTTTGGCTTGTTTTTTTTTTCCCTTTTTCCTTTCACCTTTTTTGGTTTCTCTCTATTTTCCTTCTGAATTCTATTCTGAGTTCAAATGGGTATTGCAAGGATTTGAATTTGCATTGAAGCTTTTGTTGTGGGTTTCTTGGTTCATTTTGACAGGATATTTCTTCATTATACAGATTTTTACAATGCAAAGGTTGAAAGATGGATTCCTTTGTGTAATTTTTCTTTCAGCTTATTGTTTGTCACTTCTGTATTTGTTGAAAAGTAGTTGTTCTATCTGGTTGCTTTCCTCAATCAGTTCTGGTTGGTGTTTTTTTTTTCGTCTTTAATTTACATTCGTAAAGAAAATGTTACTTTTGCTCCATAATATTGCCAAATGGCTATAATGATAGTAATTAAAAGCGCAAGGCGCACCAAGGTGCAAAGGGCTGCTGTAGCCTACGGCCAGCCTCAAGGCGAAGGGCGTGCCTTGGTGAAGTGAGACGCAAAAGATAAATAATTTAAAACACATAAATCTGAAAATTGTATTTTAAGATATCAAAGAAAGAAAAAGGGAAAATTAGAAAAACATAAAAAGAAACACACATAAATCAGGAAAACGAGATGGCAACATAACAATATATTTTAACATATTAGAGTTAAGATAGAAAAGAGTAGAATCGATTATATTACATAACACCCTCAAAACCCCCCTGAGATTCAAAGAAAAGAGTAGAATCAAGAAAATGAAAAAAAAAAAAAAAATAGAAAGCAATTATAGGAAGAGAAATTGAGAAGGCATATCTCAATGCCTGTTGGCTAAAGACTAGATTGCAAGAGGTGAGTATTAGATGAAGGAGTGGAGGTTGAATCACAAAGCACATCATTGGTTTTTCATTTTGCATTTTATTTCTTTTATTTATTCATTTATTTTATGTAAGCAGAATCTTTTTATTGAAAGAAACCCTAGTGACTTGTTCAGAAAAACAAAAAATAGAAAGGTGTGCCTTTCTTGAGCCTTAGGCGCAAAAAGGTGCATGCCTCTACCCTGAGGACTGTTGAGTCACAAGCTCTTGAGCCTTAAATGAGGCGTGCCTTTAATAACTATGGGTATAATTAATTGAAGTTTCTTGAAAAAGGCCCTTCGATAATGAAGCATTATTTTAAAATAAATCTTCATACTCCAAAGCTTATAAGTTACACTTGCGGGTCAAGTTTTGATGAAAAATTGCATATGCCAGAGTGTCAGCAGCAATGTTTGGTATGAGGGATTTCGGGTTAGGGAATTCAAAGAATCCATGGATTTAGAGAGAATCTATTAGTTTGTATAGTTAGATAGGGAGAGAATACATGCAAATTTGAAAATCTTTCATTTGTTTTGCTGAATGACTATAGGTTAAAGGATTTGAAATCCCGTCTTAGGGTGGAGATACAAGGGATTTTGCTAATTTTACCCCCACCAAGTTGTCTTTAGAAGTGTACTAGTTCGTAAACCAAATGGTGGAGATTTTCTTTAACCATTGAAGGCTTTGATTCCATGGATTTCGACAATCTCATGAATTTTGAATAATTTAATCTAAAATGCATTCTTATCTTTTGAAATCTATACCTAATCTGTTCACCATTTTTGTGTTTTTCAGATTTATTGTCATTACGAACTTGATGATTTTGTGCTGGTAATTGACTGCCTTCTATTTTCAACATGAGCAACCAATATGGTGACAATCATGTAGGTGGAACCGTGATATTTCTAATTTTATTGAAATTAAAATGGTGGCTTGACAATTTAATTCTTATACAGGAGGATACAACTGTAATGGGATTTGAAGTTCCAAAATCTCCTGATTCGAGTTACAACAATACCTACCCTGGTAATGAAGATGAGGCACGGGACCCACCTGTAGTTCCTCCACACCTGCAACAAACCTTGCTTAGCTATCCAGCAAGTGCAAACACTTTTGAAACTATCCCCTCGCCACAGAATGTAATTCTCAACCACCTTTACATCGAGAATCGAGAAGTCCCACGTTCTGTGGTGGCGCTTGGTTTTACTCATCGTTTCTGTTCAAAATATGTCACCACTGTGCTATACAAACCTGTTCAGAGGAGGGGGAGTACCTGCACTTAATAATATGCATATAGTAGAAAATTTAATTAGAGTTAGTCTCATTTCACCGATTGTGATGGAATGACTTGAGATTGACTGAAATACAGAAATTGGCTAGACAGAATATTTATTGTCTCAAGCAGTTAATGGAATTAGGTTTGTTTTATTTGCGGTTCTCTTCATTTCAATTATTGAACTCTGTCCTGATGGTAGATTTGCTATACATAAAATGTAAAGTTCTGCATTTGCATTCTTTTTAGCCAATGTATTGCACAGAATGATTTGTAGCCTGCTTGCTTATTATGAAACTTAGATTTTGTTTTTATGTAAAGCATGGACATGCATGCTTATAAAGAATGAATATCCAAACTGAATCAAGATCCTTATCACGACTGGACTAAGAAGTCGTGGCCAGACTGAACAATCATGTACTGAACCATGGAGCTTCAAGAGCTTCTACTATGGACGGGTATCTCCAATTTCTAAGATCACAACAAGAATATCGGGAGCTACCCTAATTAGTCAACTAGTTCATCTCTCATCAGAACCTTCTGAGAGATGTGTTTCTTAAGGAATCCCTGTACAAGAGTAGCGAATCACTATAACCCTCAAGAAGGTAACTTTCTGTCTACTGGACATACCATTACTCTGTTAGATTCTTTAATGTTATTGTACTTTCATATTGGGGTGAGCTTGCCAGAATCCACTTCCGGCCCCATTGTAACCTTTTTTCTTCAATGGATTTACGATACTACAAGAACATCCATTACATGCATTTCTGGATTGAAATTTGAATGCCCTGGCCATGTTGATGGGAATAGCATTATCTGCGTGTTTGTCTTGCTTTGTTGGATTGTTGTTATCTGGTCATGAATAGAAAAAGAATTTGAAAGCCACAAGATTGTCGTAAGGATAAGATTCTTAATTTAATTGTTTAGTGTACGTGTATATTTTGCAGATAGAGAACATATTTGAGATCATCTAAAATTTGACCTAGCCTCTTTGTACGGAATGCACTCATCTGTTTGTACTGTAGTCAATTGACAATGAAGACAGAAGTGATCAGTACAACCCATTTCTGATTATATTGAAATAAGTTAGTCAATGCTATTATGTCTAGTTTTATCCTCTCCTTCCGGCATGTGCTCTGCTTTGCTTTGGTGGATTTTATTAAACAAAACCCTGTGCTTGCATCATCTCTATACTTTCATGGCTATTTTATGCTATTTTGGAATAGTTTTTGTAACTAACTCCAGCGATCCTCATTTCATATTGTAATACTTTTAAGCCTTTACATTCTCTTTTCTTTTTCCTTATCTTTTTGTCCTCACTATGGGTGTTATGTTAGTTTATGCTTACAATAAGATTATGTCTCGTTGCAGCATTGTAATATATAACCTTGTATCATATTTTCTCTGGCCAACAAAAAAAAATGATTCTCATTGGACGAGTTTAAAAGCTTATTCTCGCAATCGACTTAAAGCATTCAGAAATTACCTTTTGAATGTTTGATAACTTGGTATCTGAATTCGAGTCGGAACAAATTATGGGGCTCATTTGCATATCTGAATTCTGAACCTTGGGAGAATTTCCTAAGACAGTCCATGGAAGAAAAAGAAAAATAGTGGTAATAAGATCCCAATTCAAAACCTATTGATTTAAAATTTCTGGTTTGGTTTTCATTTTTTTTTTTTTCAAATCAACCGAATCAAATTTGTAAAATTGCATCCTATCAAATAGTAAAATTTTACACTTTTTTTAATTGCTAGATACATGTTTAATAAGTGCAATACTTTACATGTTCTAACACAAATTATTCAACAATGATTGTAATCATATTTCTTTAATCAATGAATAAGTGTGGATGATAACTTATAGAACTGTTAATAGGAAATAAAGAAATTATACTAATAAGAAGAAATTTTCTTTATATAGATGGGTGCCTCTCTAAGCAATTTGATCAATGGAAAGACTTATACTGAGGTCTTATATTTAAAGTATAACTGAAATATTTTTATAAAGAAAACCCCAAAATTATTGCAAAAAAAAAAAAAAAAAAAAAAAAACTGAATAAGAAAGAAACTTTTCTTTATATTAGATGGGTGCCTCGCTCTAGCAATTTGATCAATGGAAAGACTTATACTGAGGTCTTCATAATTTAAAGTAATACTGATAATATTTTTATAAAGAAAACCCAAAATTAATTTGTCAAAAAAAAAAAAAAAAAAAAAAAAAAAAAAAAAAAAAAGATGTTTGTGTCTCTCTTTTCAATTCCAGCAAATCTCAAACACAAACAAAGTCATCTTCTTCAACCTACTGAAAATAATACACCAAATAATCCCTAAGAGCCAATGAAAGGGTAACTTAGGTTATATCATATAGTTCCTTTCTCTGTCAAACCAGCAATTACAGGATGAGGAGAAAATACACTTGCACTTTTTCTTTAATAAAAAAAGAAAAAGAAAAAGAAATATTTGACTTGAAAATGGCAAATTAAAGAAAATAAAAAAAATTAGTGAATAATTGATTAAAAATGAGAACAGACAACGTAATGGGCTATTTCAAGGCTAAGGTGGCTGAGGCCATAGCCGTGAGAGAAGCTTTAAGCTAGATCAAGGATCACGGATGAAATTATATTTTATTGGAAACCGATTCTCAGTCAGTTGCAAATGCCATCAACAATAATACTATGAATGACTCGTCTGCTTTTGGTTTGATAATTCAGGACTGCAAATCTCTTTTGTTCTCTTTGTCTGAGATCCAGTTGCAAAATGTAATTTTTGTTTATCAAGGATCTGGGCAAATGTGCTGCACATAACGTTAGCAGTTGGAACACATTTCGACAGGTTTGGGCGAGTTAGGAGATTTCTGTACCTACCTCGCTGCTCTACTTGATCTTCTTGATTGTTGCGAATAATAGTTTCTAACTTCAAAAAAAAAAAAAAAAAAAAGAAGCGGATGATAATTGATAGGAAGACTTTTGAGTTTTGTGGTTGACTTTGAATTACATTATTAAAAATATATAAGAGATTATTATTATTCAAGTTGTGTGTATACCATATGTCATTGCCAATTAAAATGTTACAGGGATTTTTAAAACAAGAGAGTTAAATTTCCAAAAATAAAAAAAATAATATAGTAATATAAAATTTTGCTTAAAAAGAAAAATAAAATCAAAAAGAGTTTATTAAATGAGCTATTACCATAAAGTAGTTGACTATGATATTATTGGTCTTAAAAGCAGCCTTCAACTGATATGAAAATTATAAAATAATTTATAATACCCTTTTAACTTCTAAATCCAAAAAATTGGATCCACAAATATATCCTTCACCAGTTTGATTTTATTGACAATGTTTGGAACTGAGATTTGTTGTTTGCAGTGGTTTTTTTTTTTTTTTTTTTTTTTTTGTTTTTTTTTTTTTTGAATTGATATGTTTATTCTATGATTGTTTTTTTTATTTATCTCGCAGGGAGGCGGTAAGAATGTACCAGTTCATTTCTCTCTAGCAGCATCTCGCAACTTTTTTTATATAGTTTCAACCACAATGTACACTACTTTTGTAAGGTTCTTTGATAAAATTTAATTAAATTGGGCTTTTAAGTAGTTTTATGATGTAACTCAAATAAATTAAATAAATCATAACCTAAGGACAATAATTTCACAAAAAAAAACCAAAATCCTAGTCTAAGGCATGTCCGGTTCAGTGAACCGGGGCCGGTTTTCGACGATATTAAAAATTTTGAACTGGAAATCCGGTTCTGGTTCCGGCAAACGAACGGATTCCAGACGAATTACGGTTTTCCGATTTGGCTTGCGGTATTTCTCGCAAATTTTTTTAGAAAAATAATAAAATTTGATTTTCGAGATAATAATTTTAAAATGTTTAAAATTTTATTAAACTTAAATAATTATTATAAAATTTTAAAAGAAAAAACTTCTTAGGTCTATTATTAACTTAGAACTATTATTACATTAAATTTACAATTTTTGCTAAATTCATTAATATAGAAAACATAGATGGAATATAAAAATTAATGGAATGAGTTGGAATTATTATTTTCAAATACCTACAGAAAAATTTATTTAAAAATTCAAATGAAGTAAATTTAATGAATTGGAAAAATTGAAGATTAGAGAAAAATTTTTTGGAATGGAATGTAAGAGAATTGGATGTAAGAAAATAAAAAATAAAAAATAGATAATTTCAATATTAAGGAAAATAAAGCAATAGAAAAAATAATGAACTATGGAAATTTGAGAGAATTTTGATTGAGAATAAGAGAATAGTTAGGATATAATTGGTTATGAAATAAAAAATTATCAACTCATCATATTTATACATGTTTCTCATTTATTAATTTTTCAAATTGTCCCTTATAAAAGAAAAATAACAGCTATATTTTTGGATAATTTAGTAAATTACAGTAAATAAATAAATAAATGATCAAAAAATAATAAAATTTATTTACCAAAAAATAAATAAAAAACACATATTATATCAAAAACTATCCGTTACATGATTTTTTTGTACACTCGAAAGTTTTTTTTTTTTTTTTTTTTTAAATTTTTTTTTAAATCAAACTATTCATGTATCTATTTTGTATAAATTAGAGTCAAATATGTTTTTTTTCAGCACTTTTATAACTTATGTACTATTGTACTTCTCCTTTCACTCATAAATCCAAATCTTAATCTTACAATACATGTCAAGTTGATTATAAAATTATATATTAAGCTTACAATTTTTTTGCATTCTGGTTCAGAATACCGGATCTCGAAACCGCTCTGGTTTAATCGGCCTTGTGTTTCGGTTAATTAGATTTAATATTCACATGAACTTGTTAATCGGATCTTTGAACTGCAGGTTTGGTTTTAAATATTATGAACTGCCGGTTTCGATCCGGTTTGGTTCGTCTACAAAACGATTCGGTTTCGGTTAGGAACCGAACCCGTGGCCATGCTACCTAGGTCTCCTCTCTTTCTTCCTTTGATGTTCGTTTTTTTAGAGTTTTACTCCCAACCACCGGTTTAAAATTATGAACCGCCGGTTTCGATCCGGTTTCGGTTCGTCTACAATACGATTCGGTTTCGGTTAGAACCGAACCCGTGGCCATGCCTACCTAGGTCTCCTCTCTTTCTCCTTTGATGTCGTTTTAGATTTTACTCCCAACCACAGGGTTTAATCTTTTGTGATGGACGGTGGTTGCATTTCCTTCCTTTTCTTTTGTTTTATTTTTTTTTTTTAATAATTTCAAAGTCTCTCATTATTCGGATCAAATATTAGATTTATCCATTATTTGAAATAAATAAATTTCATAAAATTTTGTGAAATTTATTTATAAATACAAATTTTTGTGTTTAGTATGAAAAAAATATGAAGAATTAAATTCTATAAATCCAATTCTATGGATTTCGATATGATTAAACTAAATTTTATACAAAAAAAAAATTAAAATTTTTAAATGAATTCCACAAATTTAAATAACTTACAAGTTTTATGACAGAACTCTTTGTTCTCCTTACTTTTTAAAATTTTTATGCTAATAAAAGCAAATGAATTTACAAATTTTGAATTTATTTCAAATATGAGAAAATTTATTTACAAATGAATTCTAGCTAGAATTTATTTATAAAATAATTGAGTTCATTTATATCAAACAAAGCAATCCCTTGTTTGGAAAAAATCAATTCCACAAAATTTTGTGGAATTCATTTATGAATCCAAATTTTTGAGCTTGTTATGAAAAATAAACAAAGAATTCAATTCTATGGATGAATATAATTAAACTAGAATCTATAAGAAAAACGTGGAATTTTCAAATGAATTTCACAAATTTAAACAACTTAATGTTTAACGACAAAATTCTTTCATCCTCCTAGCCTTCTAAAATTATTATGTCAAGGATATTTTAGAAATAAAATCAAATGAATTTTTAATTTTTGAATTTATTCAAAACGTGAAAAATTCAATTACAGATGAATTCTATTTATAATTCATCCATAAATGATTTCTACATTTTGAATTCATTTATACTATCCGGAAATATATCATAATTGTTTATGTGTTTTGGTACCATCTTAATAGGATTATGTTTTTGATTTATTATGTTTTCTCTCTTCTTCACGGGGTTGTTTCTCATTGTTGAGAAGTTTTTTTGTGTGTTTTTTCTTATTTTTTCTTAGCTGACAATTCAAAATACAAAATGGGCTATTGATTTTTTAAAGTTTGAGACTTTAGATCTTAGTTAAATTTCTTTAAGCTTTGTAGTGCAACTTGTTCTTTCGTTAATATTTGGTACTTTAAACTTTAACGTGGGATGTGAGGTATAACAAGTTCTCAAAAAGTGTAAAACTGCAAAAAGTTTCTTTTCGTTTTCTATATTAAAAAGGATTAACTTTTATTGAGAGATATCTTTAAATAGAAAATTTCAATTTTTTATATTTATATTTCTTATTCCTTTAGAAATATTATAAACTAATAGTGATGATTGAACAGCTAATTTTCTTTTAAATAAAAAATATTCACACGCTACAATGTGGGAAAGATTGATACAGCCATATAGCATTGATAGGAGAAATTAAAGGCAGTTGTCTTTTGATAAGTTGTCTATATAGTCATCGACTTAGGGTTTCGTGGTCAAGTTTTTATTTACTTTTTATAATAAAATTAGGAAATTAAGAAAGAGAGTATATGTAGGGATTAAAATTTTAATACTCCACTAAAGAACCACCAGATATATCCAAATTCCAAAAGGAAAAGCTGTTATTTTGGAGGTAAGACAAGTATATTTAAACCTAACAGAGTTGAATAATTGGTAATAGAAAAAAGAGTAGCCTTTAATCTATTTTTACCAAGTGGATTAGCTTATTTCAACTTGATTAACAAGTGGTATTTTTCCTATACCTTTCTTAATTATTTTCTTGGGAATTAATTGACTGTTGGATCCTAAGGTATCCTTTGGAATGAACCGTAAGTCTTTAGCTGTTAGTAACAATGGATGCGGCGAAATGGATTCTATCAGAATATGTTTCTTTGATATTTCTCCTCCAATGGAATCTTACTTGGCCCTTGCGGATTAAACTACAAACAATATACACATTCAGATTCCCAAATGTCAACCCACACGCTATATAAATACCCTCCATAACTTCCTTCTCCACACAACACCAAATAGCTAAACTACTTTCAAATTCTCAGTAGTTTACTTCTTTAAACAAAAAAAAAAAAAAAATCAAAAACAAACAAAAATGGGTGATATTGAAGGATCTCCAGGTAGCTCCATGCATGGAGTAACTGGAAAAGAACAAACGTTTGCATTTTCAGTTGCATCACCTATAGTTCCAACAGATACAACTGCAAAATTTGATTTACCAGTTGATTCTGAACACAAAGCCAAAGTTTTCAAGATTTTCTCATTTGCTAATCCTCATATGAGAACTTTTCACCTTTCTTGGATTTCTTTTTTCACTTGTTTCGTTTCTACTTTTGCTGCAGCCCCTCTTGTTCCCATTATTCGTGACAATCTCAATCTTACCAAAAACGACATTGGAAATGCTGGTGTTGCTTCTGTTTCTGGCAGCATATTCTCTAGGCTTGTAATGGGTGCAGTGTGTGACCTATTAGGGCCAAGATATGGTTGCGCTTTTCTTGTTATGTTATCAGCTCCTACTGTTTTTTGCATGTCTTTTGTGTCTGATGCTGGTGGATACATAGCAGTTAGGTTTATGATTGGATTTTCTCTTGCAACTTTTGTTTCTTGCCAATATTGGATGAGTACTATGTTCAATAGTAAGATCATAGGACTTGTTAATGGAACTGCGGCCGGCTGGGGTAATATGGGTGGCGGAGCAACTCAGTTAATAATGCCTTTAGTTTATGATTTGATTCAAAAAGCTGGTGCTACTCCTTTTACTGCTTGGAGGATTGCTTTTTTTGTTCCGGGCATGCTTCATGTTATTATGGGTATTTTGGTCTTAACTATGGGCCAAGATTTGCCTGATGGAAATCTTGGTGCTTTACAAAAGAAGGGTGATGTTGCTAAAGATAAGTTCTCCAAGGTAATTAGTTATAATTAATCTTTCCAAGTTTTACTTGGTTAAATGTCTCTTAGTTTTTCTAATAAAAGGTTGATGGAATCTTGATTTTTTTCTTCTTGTTCAGGTTTTCTGGTATGCTATTACAAACTATAGGACTTGGATCTTTGTCCTTCTTTATGGCTATTCTATGGGTGTTGAATTGTCTACTGACAATGTTATTGCTGAGTACTTCTATGACAGGTATTTAATTAGTATTTCTTGATACCTTCTTTTAAGTCTTCAAAGAAAAATCAAGATTCTGTAATATTTTGTTAGCTTAAGAATTAGGAATTCAAGCTTTCATAGCTTTTTAAAGATACCGATTGAGATACCCAGAAAATAAAATCAAGATTTTTTTTATTTAATTAACTTATATATGATAAATACAGTCACTGCTTAATCTTTTCTCGTTTTGTTTTCAAGAAAATCAAGATTCTACTACCGGACTATAAGTAGTTTCAGGAATCAAGTAGGTGTCTCTATATGACATTCTTGAACTAACATGTTCATTAATCATTTGAACAACAGGTTTAACCTCAAGCTACGCACTGCTGGAATAATTGCTGCAACTTTTGGTATGGCTAATCTCCTTGCTCGTCCTTTCGGAGGCTATGCATCAGATGTAGCAGCAAGATATTTTGGCATGAGAGGAAGGCTCTGGGTTCTTTGGATTCTTCAAACATTAGGAGGAGCGTTTTGTGTATGGCTTGGCAGAGCCAATTCTTTACCAATTGCTGTATTAGCAATGATTCTCTTCTCTATTGGAGCTCAAGCTGCTTGTGGAGCTACATTTGGTATTATCCCATTCGTTTCCAGACGATCTTTGGGAATTATATCAGGATTAACAGGAGCTGGTGGTAATTTTGGTTCTGGATTAACACAACTAATTTTCTTTTCAACTTCAAAATTCTCAACAGCAACTGGTCTTTCTTTAATGGGACTTATGATTATGGGCTGTACTCTTCCTGTTACATTAGTCTATTTCCCTCAGTGGGGTGGAATGTTCTTTCCTGCTTCAAAAGACATTGTAAAATCTACTGAAGAATTTTATTACGGCTCAGAATGGAACGAGGAAGAGAAGCAAAAGGGTTTGCACCAACAAAGCCTGAAGTTCGCCGAGAACAGCCGGTCGGAGCGCGGCAAGCGCGTCGCTTCTGCTCCAACTCCACCAAACACCACCCCTAACCATGTCTAGTAAAGATTTTAAACTTCATTTCCACAATAATTTTCAAGAAGGGTTGTTTAAAATTTTCTTGTGTACTTAATTTCAAAAAAAATCAAGATTGTACTTTTAAAAGAAAAAGGAAAATAATGTAGTGTGTGGTCATATATTAGAATATTCCAAAGATTCATATGTAAGGAAAGTTGTCTTCTGGTATCAATATAGAGAATCATAAAATGCAGATCTCTATGTCTGTACATGAGAAGATTCAGATTCTATCTAGCCTGTAATTATCTATGCATGGCAATATCTAAGTGGATGGAATTTAAGCAATGTATTTAATAATAAGCAGATTCTCAATTATTTGATTGCTTATGGGAAAAGTTAACCTGTCTTTTTTATTATAAAATGCAATATAGTATAGAAAATCATCAACTTGCAATTAAACAAACAAATTAAGTTGCAGATATGACAAATTGAAAGGTGAACGTGCTCCCCAGCCACTGGCAAAGTCCTGACGTTAAGAGAGGCGTCTTGACTTGTATACAGGGGCCGCGTTACAGCGTCAGCCCGTGGAACGGGTCAATTGTTTCACTCTAACTCTCAAAAAAAATATTTATAAAATAGAGTTAAATTGATTAAAAAATTAAAATATATATATTAAGTGAAAATTTTTTAATCTAAAAATCAATTAAATAAATGACACAGCTGAAAAATATTTATAGTTCCGTCTCTGTTTATACCACAATAAGCTATTACCAAATATGTGGAGCTTCGCCATGTATCATTGAAACTATTAAATAAAAAGAATTAATAAAACCCCTTAATTCCAGCATATAGATAAAACTAATTTGAAAATGTCTCTAATAGTTGCAAATAAACAAAACTTCTCTCAAGTTTTAATAATTATATAACAATGTGGAGATATTTGTAGTAATTTAAAAATAACTATGTTAATAATATTATATTTTTATCTTTTGTACATTTTCGTCATTATATTATGTTATTGAGAAATTTTTACTCTATATTTACCTGGTTTATGGTAACAACTTAGACCTTTTTGATAATATTATCTGTTTTAATGATTTTAATAGTATTAATTGTGCTAAAGTTTTGCCGCCAAATAATGTAAATAACAAGAATAATGTTTTGAATCTAATAAAAATACTAAACATTAATTTTATGGTCTTAAATTCTATTTATTTTTAGATAATAACTTATCCAAAAATGTTCTTTTTTTTTTAATCTAAAATGTTTGAGACGTTCATTGAAAATCAGTCAATAGAAAAAAAAAATATCAAAGAAAAATTAAATGACTTCCCTTTTTCCAAAAAGTAAATACTTGTTAGCCGCCTTTGTTGAAAACAAATAATAAAAAAAAAGGTTTTGCTTAATCCTACATCAGGGAGATGAGCAAAAGAGGGTGGTAGGTTTGGCTATAAAAGAAAGCCAATGTTTAGGTTTCTAAACACACCAAAACACACCAAAAACACTTGAATGTGTTTTATATTAGAGATTTACTAAACACACCAAAAACGACACAAAAACACTTTTGAAATGTGTTTTATATTAGAGGATTTAAAACAAGTCCTTGTTGAGTCCGCTTTGGAGTAATAAAATATTTGGGGTGTATTGAGGGTGTCCGGGTAGAAAATATTTTGTAATTGTGGTTGTAACAATTTGTCCACATCGTGAAATATTTTCTTGGTTGGTCGTAGGCAACGGCCGTGGTTTTTCTCCACTTGGGGAGTTTTCCACGTTAAACTATCGTGTTCTCTTTAATTTTTCAAGTCATTATTTAATTTCTTCAATTTGTTCCTGCTTGAACCGATCCAGAAGGGCGGGAAAAATAACGATTTTCCCACAAGTGGTATCAGAGCCTGTTGTTAGGCGGAGCTTTTAGTGTTTAAATAATTTTCTTGTAATTTAAATTATAAGTATGCACTGTGGTTGGCGGCTTAAGTCCTGATCTTCCACATCAGAAATACTGTTGGTTAAAAAAATTATTTTATTTAAAAGCAGGAGGAGTTTGGAGTTCTTGAAAGCGGAATGGAGTTTTGCTTTGGTGTGCTTAGTACCGATGTGAAGGTTCTGACGATAAATTATTGAAGTTATTTTAGTATGAAAGTTCTGATAATAATACCGTGCACGTAACTTCTTGTCCTAGAAGGCCGGATTTTAAGGACCACTTGTGACCCCTCCGTCCAACTGAGATTTTACGTGGAATGATAATATTGTCTAGGAGATCATTGTGATCTTTCCTGAGTATTACCGAATTGGTTTACTTCACTAATTATTGGGTTCACTGTTATAAGCACAAGTAAGCATATCGGCTATGAGATGTGAGATTGAGAAATTTGATGGGAGAATGAATTTTGCACTGTGGCAAGTGCAAGTCAAAGACGTGTTGCGTCAGTCTGGACTGTATATGGTTTTGAAGGGTAAACCAGTCAGCAGAAAGAATTCAGGAAAAGACAATAGCAGTGGAGACTCAGAAAAATCCAAGATTAGCGATGAAGAATGGGAGGAGCTGGATATCAAAGCGGCAAGTCAAATTCGCATGTGTCTAGCAATTCGCATGTGTCTAGTAAAAAATGGTCTTGCTAATGTGCCGGCAAGTCAAATTCGCATGTGTCTAGCAATTCGCATGTGTCTAGTAAAAAATGGTCTTGCTAATGTGCTTGGATTGTCCACGACAAAGGAGTTGTGGGAGAAAATGGAAGAATTGTACCAGGGAAAAAATATATCCAACAAGTTATATTTGAAGGAGCAATTTCATACGTTGAAAATGGTGGAAAGTACAAAGCTGTCAGATCACCTGAGTGTTCTTAACGGCATCGTCTCTGAATTAGAAACTCTTGGAGTGCAAACCGAAGATGAAGATAATGCTCTCCAACTCATCCTGGCACTTCCTTCGACATATGAGCACATGAAACTTGTTCTGAAATATGGTAGTAAGGAAGTAGTGTATGCGGATGTGGTTAGTAAGCTCATTACTGAGGAGAGAAGACTGAATGAAATGAAAAATAATCATATGAGGATTCAACTTTATTTGTCGGTACCAAGAAAAAGAATAAAAGCTCCGGAAAGAAGAAGGTTGTCTGATGGGTTTATGGTCAAACTGGACACGTGAGGAAGAGTTGCTCGAACGGTGGAGATGATTTGGCTAGAAGATCTAACGTTGTTGCTGCCAATGTGATCTCCTGTGGCAAAGGAGATGATATAATCTCTCTGTAATTGAGAGGTGTGTGTCCTCATGGCATGATTGCTACTCATTGAGATGCCATGGAAGAGGACGGATTATTGGTAGCTGGTCCACGGAAATACGCACGGCATTGGTTGACAGATGATGCAAAGTGTGTGGTGGAAAAAAATATGTCGATGGCTAATGAATTCTCAAAAAAGTCAACAGGAGGGTTGCACCATAAACTATTAGCGGGATTCGACATGGCCGAAGGAAAATTCTTGGAGTCGGTAAAGTGGTTCCAAGTGGCGATACTCTTTTATGGTGGAGTATGATAATTCTTGACGATAAGAATTATGATTGTCGGTAGGATTGTCGCTAGGCAGACAATGTTGTGTTTTTTTTGTATTTTATTTCAAGGTTTGGAGATTGTTTAGCCACCTTTGTTCGAAAAACATAAAAAAAAAAAGCGTTTGGTCACCCCACATCGGGGAGATTGAGCAAAAGAGGGTGGTAAGGTTTGGCTAATAAACAGGAAGCCAATGGTTTAGGTTTCCTAAACACACCAAAAAACACATTGAATGTGTTTTTATATTAGGGATTTTAAAGTAAAGTCTATTGGAGTATAAATATTTGGGGTTTTGAGGGTGTCGGAATAGAAAATTTTGAGGGTGTCGGATAGAAAAATATTTTGTAATTGTAGTTGTAACAATTTGCCACATAGTGAATATTTTTCTTGGTTGTCGTTTGGCAACGGCCATGTTTTTTCTCCACTTGGAGAGTTTTCCATGTTAAACTATCGTGTTCTCTTTAATTTCTCAGTCATTATTTTATTTTCTCATTTGTTCATGCTTGAAGTCGATCCGAAGGGCGGGAAAAATAGTAATTTTCCCAACAATACTATCGGATGTTGACAAAATTATCATAAATAACAAATGAAAAATTTATAAAATATACACATAGTACTACGATTTACTATTTTTATATATTTTTCTTATATCCAACAATAAATATTGAAAATATGAAATTTCTATAATTAAAGATAATTGTATAGACTTTTTAATATTATTTGAACTAATTTTCAATATTGCAATGAAATGAGTTATTTGAAATTCAATGAAGAATAATTTCCAAAGTAAGTTATGTTTCAGAAATAAAATGAAGCAATAAAAATAAAATTTATTAGTTGAGAAGTCAAAAAAATTAACTTAAAGTATATACTGAATGCAATAAGTTGAGAACATTTTAAATGAACAACATTTATATTATTCCAACAAGTTTGTGTGAACATGTCTACATATGAAAGCTTCAAAGCCATAGCCAATACGTATAAACTTGTGTATACAAGAACACTACCTATACGTGTATATATATAATTTTTATACGATAATAGAAAACATGGAATAATGAGAGTTAAAATTTTTGAAAGAGAAATGAATTATTAGAATTTGAACCCTAATAACATAAATTGATTAGATTTTATTAAAAAATAAATTCACTCCACAAATACAAATGTAAAAATAATATAATAATACATTATTATTCAAACTTATAACTCTATTAATTAATTATAGCTTCCAACGTTAGTCAACATTACAACAACAACGATGTTTACCTTAATTTATTTTAGCTATAAGTATAAAAGTATATTATTATTATTATTATTATTATTATTATTTTGGTTAATTATATATTTATATATGATTCTGCAATGAAATGAAAAGGCAAATTGATCTTTTGGGATGTACGATGGGTCCTTTCTACGTACGGCAACTTGAGATGCGAAGACAAGTTCTTTTTTTTTTTTTTTTTTTTTTTTTAATTATATTAATTACTAGTTCAAACTATTATATATATTAATTATTTTAATGAGTAATCGTGGCACAAGTTTCTCAGCAAGTCATGGAATCTCCTATGAGCTTAGTTAGACATTGAACTTCCAATTTTTTTTTTTTTTTTTTTTTTAATTATATATTACTAGTTCAAACTAATTATATATAATTAATTATTTTAATGAGTATGTGGCACAAGTTTCTCAGCATAGTCATGGAATCTCCTATGAGCTTAGTTAGACAATGTGAACTTCCAATTCATTCTAAATACCATAAAAACTTCAAACCCATCTATATGATAAAAAATAGAATAAATATTTTCCAAAAAGAAAAATCAGTGCATGAAGTAATATATTTGTTTAAGAATAACGCTACTTGTCCCCCAACTTTTCTTAGTCTATAATATATTTATTTAAAAGTAATATATTTATTTTCAAGAACCAAAGTAGTCTTACTTTTCAAAGATAGTTGGATTCATGCATTTGATAATTTATTTAGACATACTTCAGATGAAAATTTTTTATAATTAAGGAATTAATGCAAAGAAAAAGTAAAATTAGAAATGAATTATTTCATTTTTCTATATTTAGAATAAATGTAATCTAAATATATCATAAGAAAAATAGTATTAACCAATTGTTAAAAACGGATTAGACCAATCAATTGCATCAGTAAACTCGGAAATTATTGATAAATTTGATTTGTTTTAATTTTAAAATTCAAAATTGAATAAAAACTAGGTTCAACCCATAGATATCTGTAAAAATCGAAAACCGGTTGAATTGGTGGAAGACAATTTTCGAAAAGACAGCTTTGATTAAAAAAATGAAAAACAATAAAGAAAAAGCGCCGGTTAAGGTGATTAGTAACCTCAATTTCCGTAAAAATAAGAACACAAGTTCAATTCCGAAAAACGCACTTTGTTGGGAGAACAAAAATTCTTTATGCTCTTCAACCCGAGTAGATTAAATCTTCTCGTTATTGCCAAAAAGAAAATATTTAAAGAACACGATCCAAATACAAAAGCCATAAATTAGAAATGGTGGAGAAAAATATAATTACCTAATAAAACAAAATAAAATTTAAACTTTTAGTAATTTTAAAATTTCAAATTTCACTCTACTACCATCATTGCTCCTCTACAACCACCATTGCTCGACCACCACCCCCCTCAACCACTCTACCACAACCATCACTCCACTATCGCCACCACCACATAATAAAAATTATATTTTAATGTTTAATATGCAATATGGAATTAAAATTATATTTTATTCTTTTATTTAATTATAGGAATGGGAAGAATAGAATGAAAAATTACTAAAAAGATCAAAATGCATTTATTTCTAATGACTTAAAATTTTTATTCTTTATATTTATATTTTATTCTTTTATTCAACAAAAATGTATGAAAAAATTGATTTCTAATGACTTAAATTTTTATTTTGCTATATTGCATTTTCTCCGGCCTAACTTCTTTTAATTTTTTAGTTCAAATAAATTTATAAATTTAAATGGTCTTTAATATTTTAACACAGTGAATAACTTTTGATTCAAATATTTCTTTTGTATTAATAATGATGTAGTGGTAGTAGTAGGGTGGTCTTTGAGATGATGGTGATGGAGTGGTGGTGGCGTGATTGGTGGTGGTGTTGTGCTAATTACGGAACATATTTACAAACAAACATAAAAATGGAATGGTGATTACATTTCATAAATTTTCTTAATTACATTACCAAATATAGTAATAGAATCTTAAATACATTCCATTACATTATATTTTTTATTGCATTACATTTTGATTACATTTCATTGCATTACATCCAACCAAACATAGCCTTAATTTTGTTTACATAAATTTGTTATTTGGATTGTAATGTACTAATATTAATCAAAATGTAGATTTCCTCTTCAATAGTCATAAGAATTTTGAAGGTTATTAAATCAGACTTATTTAAAAATAATGGAGTCGAATAGTATACCAATACCAAGTGAGGCATGATAACCTACCCTCGATGACACAAGTTTATTGCTATGTCAACTTTGAATCCCTCGATTAAGCTAAATTTTTAATATTTATATAAATGGTTTATAATTAAACTCTTTACGTAAAATTATAGAAACTTTCTAATTTATATATTTATTTTATATTTGTATTCATTTTCCTTTTAATGAAATTCACAAGGAGATTCGCATTATCCCCCTAAAGTTTCAAATTCTTATTTTTTTTCGAAATTTTTTTTATAAATAATTATATTTAACTTTTAAAAATATTATAATAAATTTAAATATGTATATGTATTAATTTCTGCTTAAATTTAAATCCTCCATCGAGTCCACCAATTTAAATTCTCAACAAACTTTCACTTTTTCCGTTGACTGAAACAGTACCATAGTCCATAGCTCTTCTTGAAAAATGCCCTAAAAAAATAGTTTTAGAGCAACACTTACCTCTCCATACTCAGATTATCAAAGCTTTGATGTTTCAGTGTAAAAGTGCTTGCTAGGCTTCTGATGAAGATGGTAGAATTCCTCTCCACTTGGTTGCCATGAGAGGTACGTAGAGTTGAGATTATCCAATAATTGATAAGCGAAAGTTCTTATCCATTTTGGAGCTTCCTCGTAAAAACACAATCTTACTTGCAAGTATTAACAATGAAGTTGTTATGAATAAATTTCTGTCAATAAAAAATAGACAAAGATCATTATAGTTTAATTTTAATAGTTTATTTTCTTTTTATAAGGAATTCTCATTATTTAAATTTATTTTATTGAACTCTTATTAAATTTTCTGACTATGTTACTTTGTTGCACTTGTAATGACAATGAGATTTTAAAAATGGGAAAATGAAGATGATATTTCTATGTATCCTGCATTTATCTGCCATGCTAAAGCAATTGGAGGTCATCAATTAAATTTTTGTATCCTATATGTCAATTTATCAATTATTTTATTTTGATAGG